CTGACCGCTGGGCGTTTCGCAGGCCGCGCTGACGCGCGGACACTTCAGTGCGAGTCGGTGACTCGGGTGGGCCCAGAATCATGGCGACGTCGTCAGTGCCGGTGACTATGATGATAGTAGCGATGCTGGTGACGATGATGACGATGGCGATGGCAAGGCCAATGATTGCGCCGACGCTGATCACGCCGATGACGATAATGGTGCCCAAGTGTCGGTGGTGAAGTGTCCAAGTGTCGGTGTCCACGTGTCGTGCGCACGGCCGACGGGCGCGAATGGTGTTATTTGCCTGGGGTTCGTGCTCCCCCCAGTGCGGGCTGAGGCGTTCGAATGATTTCGACGCGCACTCGAGAGGCCCGTTCAGTCGCATCGGGTAAAACAAACCTTGAACAACGTGTGGTTTTTTGTCAGAACTCACAAGTATTAGCAGTAGTACAGTCGGGTTCCATTAGTAGGTCGGCCCTGCGAAATCAAGGGTATTCTTGTGTCCTGTGCATCGCGCGTCGTGTCCTCTGCGGCCGAAGGGCAGGGTACCCTTGCGTCCTGTGGTTTCCGCGGGTGTCGGTGGCTTGGCCCGCGGCGGTGTGAGCGCGTCGCGCCGGCGGGAGGTCGCGGCCCCTGTCTAGGGTACCCTGGCGTCCTCTCGGATTTAGGGGTTCGTGTGGCTTCAAGGTACGACTATGGTTTCAGCGCCGCGCCGCTGGCGCCGCGGAGAAGGGTCTATCTGCGATGTCCTCTGAGTTCGGGCGCGCCGCTTGTGAACCAACGACGCGTTGATTCGAGGCCGCCCCCTCGCAGCAGGGTGCCCTTGTGTCCTGTACTTGCGCAGCCCTGCAAGTTCATTCATCGTCGCATTCGGGGGGAGGTCGCGGGGCGCGCAGATGGTACCCAGCCGTCCTGTACATAGGTTTCCTTGTTGCAGAGCCTCTGCAGAGCCTCTGAAGAGCTTCCGAAGAGCCTTTGCCGAGCTGCAGAGCCTCTGAAGAGCCTCTGCATAGCCTCCGAAGAGTCTCTGAAGATCCTCTGAACAGCTTCTGAACAGCCTCTGAAGAGCCTCCGCAGAGCCTCTGAAGAGCCTCCGCAGAGCCCCTGTGCAGCCTACGCGCAGCCCCTGAAGAGTTTCCCCTGGTCGTGTCTCCTGGCGACAGGTCGCCAGAGGACACGATCATATATTTGTGGTTGGTATAGCCGCTTGTTGCGTCGAGAGGAATGAAATTTTACAGCGGGTTTTCGCTATTGGGTTTGCGAAGTAACATTGCCGTGCTTGTGTACAATACACATAGTACATGCATCCATCGCGCGCGCGTGAGCGTGCGAGCGGGTGACCATGGTCACCCGCTGGCGTGCGCGAGCGCGCTCGGTGGATGTGATTATATACGGTTCCATACAATTGCGGTTGATATAGCCGTTTGTTGCGCCCAGAGAATGAAATTTTACATTGGGTTATCGCCATTGGGTTTCCGAAGTAACATTGCCGTGCTTGTATACAAAACACATAGCACATGCATCCATCGCGCGCGCGCGTGAGCGCGCGAACGGGTGACCATGGTCACCCGCTGGCGTGCGCGAGCACGCTCCGTGGATGTGTTTGTATACGCAAACCGCTTGTTGCGTCCAGAGAATGAAATTTTACATCTGGTTTTCGCCATTGGGCTTCCGAAGTAACATTGGCGTGCTTGTATACAAAACGCATCCTACATACATCTAGCGCGCACGCGCGAGCGCGCGAGCCGGTGACCATGGTCACCCGCTGGCGTGCGCGAGTGCGTCTGGTGGATGTGATTGTGTGCGGTTCCATATATATATATATATATATACTGTGTCACTGCGAAATGCAATGCAACGTCAGAGAGTGGCCGCAGGTTTAGTAGTTGAAGGTCTCGGGGCTTCAAACGACGTTCAAACTTTCCCATATCCATTTAAGTTCGAGAGCTTGTGGTGAATTGAGGCTACCACGGGCGGTCCCCAGCGGGGGATGCAAGCGGCGCTGGCCGAGGCTCTGGTGCGGGAGACGCTGCACTAGGTCGGCCTCGCGCAGGTGCTGGCGTCGAGTCGGTGCCCAGAGGTGCCGGCCTGCCCGCCGGTCCCGTCGTGCCCAGCCCTGCCAGAGATCCCCAGCTGCCCGGCCTGCCCGGGTGCGCCGCCGTCCCCTTCGCGGCCGTCCGCGCCGTCCATCTCGGACGGCTGGGCAGTCCCCCTAGCGGCCTTCAGCTTCGGGGGCCTCCTGGTCGCGCTCGTTTCCCTGGCCGTCGGGCGCTGGGGCGGCATCGGCGCCGCCGGCGCCGGGCCTGGAGGATTGCCGCGCTGGCGGCACCTGCACTCCCGGCCCCAGCCCTGGAGGAGTGGGCGTTCGTGCTGTACACAGTGGCGGGGCCCCTGGTGTACCGCCAGCGGCGGGTGCTGGGCTGCAGGCGCGCGGCGTGCTCGGCGACTGAGCTCGGCCGCGTGATCATCGGAACGCCAGACCTAGGAGGACTACAGGCCAGGGTCCCTCGGCGTTGATGCGGCACGAGTCGTGTTCAGCAGCGAGCGCTGGCCGCCCCCTGCCACTGTGCCGCGTGCCCAGGTCTATCGGTTCAGGGACGAGCCCACCGGCCTGGAGTACGCGGCGATGAGGGGAGCGGACCGCGTGGAGGCCAACCGGTTCTGGGCCGCCGCGGACGTGGCTGCTGGGGGTGCTGGGGGCCCGATCCCGCTGAACGAGTTCGTGCCGTTCGAGGCCATCGCCGGCGTGGTGGCGGGGCTCGGAGCGGCGGCGGGGCCGGCGCCCCAGGGAGCTGGGGCGGGCCCAGCGCTGCCCCCAGTGCCCATCGCCGCGGGACCTGCGCCTGGCGCCGCGCCCGCTGTCGAGCCGGCCGCGGCCGCGGCGCCGGCGCCGCCTGCGGCCGTCGCGGCACAGGCCGCGGGCTCAGGCCCGACCGCACGTGCGCCAGCTATTCCCAGATGGGCTGCCAGTGGTCATCCCTGCCAG